ATTATTAATAAGTATTTCGTGCGCACGTTATACTTATTGCGTGGCCACGAAAAACAACTTCATGGCCACAATAAAAAAAATTTTTTTATTGTGGCCACGAAGTAGTATTTCGTGCGCACGTTATACTTATTGCGTGGCCACGAAAAACTACTTCGTGGCCACAATAAAAAAAATTTTTTTGACCATGTCATCAGAGGGGCTCCGTACATAAGTGTTATTAGCTCATTAAGGAATGCAAATAGTTAGAAAAAGAATACAAGTCAAAAGTTAGATGATTATATTTATAAAATATGATAAAATAATTGATAAGAAAATGAAAGGAAGGTGGGACTGAAAACTTAGCTGATAATGTTTAGATTGCACAGTCAAAGGTCACCTTTAAACAAATAAGTTTTTAATCTGGATTTAGAGCTACTGATGGTTTTAGGAAGGTTTATTCAAGATTAGCGGATTTTTAGAATTAAAAGCTGCTTCTTCATGTTTGGTCCTAAACAAAGACAATCTTGATAGTGTTGATAATAAATCTAATCCTTTCAGGGATAAACACCCCCCCTCCATACAAAGCAAAACACCTAATTGTGATTTGATCAGCATTAACTTGATTAAATGAACAAAGTCTACTGGATACAAAATCAATTCTTATTTAAAACTATTGGAAATCAACAGGGACAGTTTATTCCTATAGGTCATTTTAGTGGCTATACAATCCAAAACTTTCATACATAAAAAAGGTACATTGCAGTGATATAAAGGCAACAGAGATTATTTTATTTACAAATATATAAACTGAATAATAAAAAACTGAAAGAAAAGTTGTAAACTTAGCTGATAATGTTTAGACAGCTCTGTCAAAGGCCACTTAAAATAAATACGTTTTAGATCTAGATTTAAAGCAAATTTAAATTTGTTTTACACTTTTCTGGTAGTTTATTTCAGATTAGTGAAGCATGGTTCTCTGTGTTTGGTTGTGGTTCTGGATCTGCAGAGATATGATCCTGAGAGGTTTGGTTTGTTGGTTGCAGGGGGGGGATTTACCATTAGGCAAAACTAGGCAGTTGCCTGATGCCCCAAGTTCCTGGGGACCCCATAAAACTCATTTTACATGCATACTATTACTTACTTGTGCACATTTGGTGACAACATCTAAAAGCAGCGAACTCTGCTCTCCAGAGCGAGTAGATTGGTAACCCCGCCTCCTGCTCTCCTCTATCTTGTCTGCTGTCATGATTCATGCAGCTATTATTTCATCCAAATGAAAAATGGAGAA